TAGATGTAGTTCAATATTCTGATAGCTAATAATGTTTTCTTAGACTTTGTACTACCATGTTTTAAATGAATTTGTATGCATACCTGTATCTGTTAAGTGTGTATTTTTTACATGTTGTTCTAAATCACTTATATTAAATTTATTATTGCACATACAGCAATTGATGAACTTCTTGACGACTGTATCAGTTTCCTTTACAACTAAAATAAAAATTAATTAAATTAATTATATACAGCTAAATATATTTTTCATAGATGTAGACCAATAATCTGATAGATAATAATTTTTTCCTATACTACACTGGTATATATAAGATGATTTTTATTACTGTTTTATATGTTCAGAAACATACACCTTATATCAGGATTACTGCGGTAATCCTATAGAAAAKTAAAKKCAAATAAATCATAATCAACTCAAACTTTGTACTACCATGTTTTAAATGAAKTTGTATGCATACSTGTATCTGTTACACCATGAGATTCATCAGAAGTTGAATCGCTATCTTTGTGTAACTCCATTTCATGTGTATCAGTTTCCTTTGCAGCTAAAATAAACAAAAATTGATTAAATTAATTATATACATTTAAATATATTTTTCATAGATGTAGTTCAATATTCTGATAGCTAATAATGTTTTCTTAGACTTTGTACTACCATGTTTTAAATGAATTTGTATGCATACCTGTATCTGTTANTCAATATTCTGATAGCTAATAATGTTTTCTTAGACTTTGTACTACCATGTTTTAAATGAATTTGTATGCATACCTGTATCTGTTACACCATGAGATTCATCAGAAGTTGAATCGCTATCTTTGTGTAACTCCATTTCATGTTTATCAGTTTCCTTTGCAGCTAAAATAAACAAAAATTGATTAAATTAATTATATACATTTAAATATATATATTTCATAGATGTAGATCAATATTCTGATAGTTAATAATGTTTTCCTAAATTACAATGATATACATAAGATTCTCACCTTTTTTTTTTTTGTTACAGCACTCACATTCACAATCTACATTGTTAATACCAAAAAAATGCTTGCCGTAGTCCGCCGTAATTTCTTCTCCAGCATTAATTGCTTTTACAGTTTTTGCGTACCAGATTGATTTTCCTTTAGACTCCCATTTGGTATTTGGGGAGCAAGCATGATTAATATATGCTGCTGGTCCTAAGAACAACAAGTCTTTTCCATTTTTAGAACTATGCATTATGGAAAAATCATTAACACCTTCCTGTAAGACAAAAAAATAAAAAAAAACATTTTTGAATCAAAATATAAATATGTTATAGGTAGTTTTAGTTAAAAAAAACCATACTTTTATGTCTTCAGGTTTAATAATTGCGGTTTGTCCGCAGAGGGTGTTAATGAATTGTCCATTTTCGATGTTTCTGGTAGCTACAATTTTTACATCATTTTGAATGTCTTTAAATGAATTGTTTTTCGTGTATTTATATGATAAATCGGCAATTGAATTGTTGTATATTTCCATTTGCTTGGTAAATATTCGTTTTTCACGTATGGTTTTTAATTCGAATTTTTCAGTACGTGTCTTATGCGTTTCGAACCCTATAAAAGTTAAAACTTAACGTATGTATATTTTGTTGTTATAATGTTATTTATTACTATAATTATTATTATGTTTAATATTTTACCAAGGTAGGTAAATTAACAAAAGTGTAAATGAAGTTTAAAAATATTGCATTACATATTATTACCTATTTACCATTTTATTCTTTACCATACATTTTCCAAATGTTATGCAAAACGTACTTATTCCGGAAAAATGTCCATTTTGCAGAAAACAACTTTTTAAATTTTAAAAATAAAGCAATAAAAAAATTAATCAGGAAATGAAGAAATTAAAAAAACAATTTAAGAATAATTTTTAGAATTTCTTTAATATAAATGCCAACGAAATATTAAATAAATACGAATAAAAAATTTACCAAGCAGTTTGTCAACAGTAGCTGCCGTAGCAACATCATCGGAGAATCCTAGTATTTGAGAGAGCCTCCTTGGAGCCATTTTCAGCAATGCACACACGAGCGCAACCAACAAATGAAATACATTGTCAAAGCTAACTGCTGAGGAAGACGACGGCGGCTGCTCGATATACAAAGCGGGTGTAGGGGGGAGGATTGAGTGAAAACCTGTACAAACGCCGCGGATGGTGGTGGGACGTAAATACGCTAACGACGACAACGATGGCTGGGTAGTCAACGGTGCAAGGGGGTTTCGTGCTGATGGCGATCGACGATTGCGGGTGTCTATTTTTAGTAATCCTGCCGGTCGATACAAAAAAAAACCCAGTAGATATAAGTACGATATGGTTAATGCGAATGAAATCGTATACATAACGCAGTTTATTAGACCACCAATTATTTATCATTGTAATATATTATATTATTTGAAAACACCAGACGACCTAAAAATGATTGAGCTACGAAATATACAATTCTCAATAATAATAATACTTGGTGCAGGATTACAGCGTGTAAAATACTACGTTTTTCCATCACTACAAGTCCAATTCGCTTAACAGGGGGCTAAAGACTATTTGGGGATATAGAGTAAGTCATTTGGAGTCGAGTGATATCGCTTTGAAAGCTGTAGTACAAARTTTTGATTTTAAATAATTTTTTTTCGAACTATACGTCACGCGCGGACGTAATATGCATTACAGCAGTAGATACGAATCGGTTTAAAATACATTAAAAATTAATACCTTGCACTACGGCTTAGCCAATCATATCAATGGCTTCGTAGGTTTTGCCACCAATACAAGTCCAATTCGCCTACTAAGGGACTTAAATGTATTTGGGGTCATAGAGTAAATCATTTAAAGTCGAGTGATATCGTTTTGAAAGCTGAAGTACAAAATTTTGATTTTAAATAATTTTTTTTTCGAACTATAATATGTCCTGGGTACTTATAATATGCACTACGAATATACACATTATTAACACAATGACCAACGAACGCTCACATTTTAATAAAAATATGATGGTGATATTTTTTTAAATTTTATTATAATATATAATATTCATAGATGTGTATACGATTTCATTCGCGTTATCGAAATTACTTATATCTACTGGGTTTTTTCTGTATCGGCCGGCAGGATTACTAAGAATAGAAATCTACAACCGACGTTCGCACAGCCGTCAACGCTCTATGCACGGACCCCCTTCCACCCACTTCCGCCGAGGACTACCCAGCCATGGTTGTCTTCGTTAAATGCATTGTCTTTATAACGTACGTTATAATGAATAATATTCAATAAGCTACGAAATACAATTCTAGAAACCACCAATTATTTATCATAGTTAAATAAAATATTATTCAATAGCCCATGCAATGTATATATTACGTAAATATTACTACAACTTAAATAATTTATACTCCTAGTAAACCTGCACCAAGTATTATTTTCTGGACAACTCAACCACATCACCAAAATATGAAAATTGAATGCATCCAAAATGCATTTCCCAATAAGCGGACATCCTAACGAATCCAGCGATATGATTATCTAAGTCGTAGTACAAAATCATAATTTTTAATAAACAATTAACCGAATCCTCTCTACTGTGGTAGTGCATATTATATGTACCCGGTGCATATAGTACCAAATTTGGATTTTTAGTAATTTTATTTCATATTATAAGTGCCGGCGAACGTAATTTGCACTACTCCGGTAGAAACGAATCGGTTTATAATTCATTAAAAATCGAAATATTGTACTACGACTTAGCCAAGCACATCCCTGGCTTCGTTAGGATGTCCCCTTTTTGGGAAATGCATTTTGGATACTTACAATATGCATAAARTGGTGGTGRRGTCGAGTTGTCCAGAAAACGGTATATTGGTGCAGGATTACATGGGTAAAATACTGGTTTTGCCACAACCCTAAGTACAATTAGCTTACCAGGGGACTTAAAACAGTTTGGGGTTATAAAGTAAGTCATTTAGAGTCGAGGGATATCGTTTTCAAAGCGGTAGTACCAAATTTGGATTTTTAGTAATTTTATTTCATATTATAAGTGCCGGGCATAAGATATTTGTATAAATATTGATATTCAATATCAATGCGTACATTGAAAAACGTGAAAACCCGGTTAATACTAATTTTGACCTGAAAAATGACGACTAGTTTGCGTACAGCTATTAAATTAGACTAATATTGTTACTTGTAGAGCAAATTTCGATAAGATACACGTAATTGATTAACTAGTGTGCGGTTCTAAACGATAATGTTATTTTAGATAAATGTGTGCATTATTGACGACCGCTGGATGTTATATGTTATATGTTATATGCCTATTATTTAGTTGAACGTGTGATGCTATCAAGATAGCATATTAGTCATTTTATTTCGTGAAGTACCATGGAAATTTAAATATCAAATGTTTTTGAAACGCGCAGAGGAAAACCTTGTTTTAATATTGAAAACTATAAGTATAGTGATTTTCGTGTTTTAAAATCTTGTAATCTGTTGTTTAGATATAAGGAAAATGTTTGAAAACAATCTCAAACATTATTTTTGTTAAGGGTTTTAGTAGACTTTTGYTATAGTTTATGTACGCAAACGAGTCCTACGTTTTGGGTCATTTATCACAGATATTAAAAATTCGTGTGCGCAATCGAGTTGTACATTTGTACGCAAACGAGTCGCAAAAAAGGTTAAATGTACGCAAACGGGTATCGTCCAACGCAACAACTTTCCATTTTCCAGCCTCAGCCACCTATTTATGGGAGGGGGTGTTCCTTGTTCCGTTAAGTGGTAATTATATGTTTAGTCAATGTAGGGGATAGACAGGTCAATTCACATTGAGTATTGACACATTATTTTATTATTGTGTATTAATCGTATAACACTCTTCCAAAATTTGACGCCGATAATCGCTTTCTTCGTTTTTCAAACCTACCTTTGATGTTTTGCTTGGTTCCTAGTTTCTAATTCTAATTCTATTTGAGATGCCTCTGAAAGAGTTAGCAACTGAATAAATTCAAGTTTTTTAATTTTAAATTCATCGTCAGATAAAATATTAATTTAAAAAAAAACTAATTATGATCGAAAATTGCATATGCCTATGAATAGTTCAACTTAAGTCAAAAATTTTTGAAAATTGCATGGTGGATAGAATGTACTTAGGAATAATTAAAATAAAATTAACTAAAATAATTAAAATAAATAAAATAAAAAAACATTCGGTGAAAATTTCATGTATCTATGGTCATTTTTTTAAAGTTACATCAAAAACTAAAATCGATTTTGTCGAAACGACGTACTGAAGTCAAAAATAAAAGCACTTTTACTGCCCCAAAACGCGCTGCTTACGAATTGCGTCCCGTATAAAAAGGTATAAAAAGGTATAATACTAATTGCGTCCCGGGTATTTCTTGAGTACGTCTGAATTGCGTGCCTATTACCTGTAATATCTTAAAAATCGAAATTATTGATTATTGTCAATTTATTTTAGATTTAATAAATACGACTATGCTAAAACTTTGATAATTTTATGGTGAGTTACGCTCGGTAGACAAACACAATTATTGTCGCAGTGCTGTGTAAACGGTTCACTTATTCACACTTATTCACTTTTTTTAAACCAAGTTTTTAACTTTTAATATTTATGGCGAGTGAAATTAAAACTATGTTTAGCGAAAAACATTTTCCGCATATGTAAAGATTTTCCTTAATGGACAAGTGTGATGCAAACATTTTTTAAATCACCCCATAAAGTTGCCTCGTCAGCAGTCGTCGAATGTAGTTTTAATGAATTAAAAAACCAAATTTTACGRTTCGATGTAAAGCCAATGGCAGTAGATAAATTTGTAATTATTCATYTTMAAAACATRRAAAGTAATGCCAAACTATTTCATAGTGCACAACAAAGAAGTATATTTTCGCAACAAAATATCATCGAATCTCATGACGTCGAGAATACTGAGTTAAATGACCGAACAGCTTATACTTCATCTGATACCGTCGATTTATTAAGCAATAATGATGAATCAGATGACAATTTTGAAACTGACAATTCTTACGACAATTACAAAAATTGGAAAGGTAAAGGGAATGATGATCTAATAATTTCAAATAATAGTAAAAAACTAAATAAAAAACCTAGATTAACAAAATACATGGATTTGGTTCCAGAAATTGACCGCATTCTGTTATATCGTACAACACGTTCTTCCAAAAATAACTTATTACAAAATGGCAACATACAAACACCACTAATTATGTCAAAAAACCGTTACCTGCTTCAAAATACGTGTCCATTTGAACTGCATTAATAGCAATCGCGTACAACGATAATGAAAAGTTTAAGAATTATTTGAATAACAGTACCAATGATTTATTAAAGTTCTGTACTAAACTTGCAACGGAACCTGTTTCAAAGAATACTTATATAAGCCGTTTATCACTTCTTCGAAAGATTTTTCAAGAAGATACTGGAATAACAGACATTTCACTGATTGATGCTARATRCAATGTTAACTTTATTGCCACWAGTTTTTTGAAGGAATCGCCATCAGCTGAAGAATATCGCCAATGCTCAAACAAAAAATGTAAAAATTCAAAAAAAATATCCAGCCCGACAATAATATTAGATC